TTAAATATGGCTGGGGATATAGCTCAGAATTAGAGTGGTTGTCTAGCATGCCAAAGTCCTAGGTTCAATCCCCAGCACTTCAAGAACAAAAACAAACTGCTTTTTATTACAGGGGATTTTAGCTTACTTCATTACTGCTCCCTACCCTAATCCCGGAGAAGCTTTATCATTTCCTATTTGTGCTTGCACTATTTGAATTTTAAAAATTTATCTATCATATATTTTATTAATTCAGTTAGTTTTTTAAAGACAAATTTTCAATATGCTATGCAGACTGGCACTGAACTCTCAATCACCCTGCCTCAGTCTACCGAGTGCTATGATTACCGGCATGTGCCACCATGCCCAGCTATCAATTTAAAATCATGAGACACTACAAGGGATATTCTAGAAATCAAATGAAGTAGATTAGTGCCTACGAGGCAGTATCTGTTCAGTATTCCCAACCCTCTTGATCAAGACACTGTCCACATGCAGAATGCCTTCAACTGAAAGGACTGTGAGAAATTTTATTGAAGACTTCCTAAAGAGAATACGCAGCCAAGTGTAACACTCAGATTGTGGCCCAACTACTCAACTGACAAGGAGTAGGCTCTAAGTGATGCTTAACCAAGCAAGATTAGTGAAATAAGCAATCCTATAAAAAGAAAAATCAAAGAGTGACTGGGGCCAGTGAGACGATGCCACAGAGCAAGGCACTTGCTACAGGGCTCGATGACATGAGTTTAAGCTCAGGGTCTCACATGGTGGAAGGACAGAAGTGACTCACCAAAGTAGTCCTCCAATCTCCACACATATGCCGTGGCACCAGTATGGAGTATGTGTGCATGTCCATGCACACACAATAAACAATTCATTAATGAGTAAATTGGGAGCATGGGGGTCATAGGAGAGGGTAGGAGAAGAGAGAGGAGGAAGGGAGGGGAGCAGACAAAAATGTATAGCTCAATAAAAACAATTAAAAAAAAACAACTACTAGGGGCTGGAGAGATGGCTCAGAGGTTAAGAACACTGACTGCTCTTCCAGAGGTCCTGAGTTCAATTCCCAGCAACCACATGGTGGCCCACAGCCATCTGTAATGAGATCTGGTGCCCTCTTCTGGCCAGCAAACATACAGACAGATAGAACACTATACATAATAAATAAATAAATAATTTTTAAAAAAACCAACTACTTAATAAGTAAATGCAATTATTTCAAAAGAGAGGTGTCTTCCTTTTAGAATTTCATGTAAAAAAACAGAATTGGTTTCAGTTCTTGAAAAACTACATGTGCACTGGAGGTCAACAGTTTGGGCAGGGAAATGGGGGAAAGATAGAGGAAATGAAGGAGAACGAAAGGGAAAGCAAACTAAGAACATATGAAAAAGCCTTATGGAAAATTACTACTTTGCCAGCTAATTTCAAATAAAATTTTGGGCTGGAGAGATGGCTCAGGGGTTAAGAACACTTATTGCTCCTGCAGAGGACCTGGGTTTGGTTCCACCATCCAAGTGGCAGTTCACAACCGCCTGTAATTCCAGTTTCAGGGGCTCCCACACCCTCTTCTGGCTTCAAAGACATTACATGAACATGGTGCACATATGTACAAGCAGACAAAACATTCATGTGCATAAAGCAAAAATAAATTAAAATACAGTTTTTGAAAAAGTTTCGGCTGGAGACATGGCTCAACAGTTAAGAACACTCACTGCTCTCGCAGAGGACCCAAGTTCAGTTCCCAGCACCCGGTCTGAATGGTTCACACCCACCCGTGAGTCCAATTCCACAGGATCCGATGCCCTCTTCTGGTCTCTGCAGGCACCAGTACTCATACGCACATACATGTTGTGCAGGTGCACACATGCGTGCTCCCTGGACTGTGTTCGCACATACACACAAAATGAATATTTTTTAAAAAGAGCTTGAACAGAGGTAGGTTACACGGGTGGACAACGCTGCTCCTAGGAGACAAAAACTCCAGTGCCCAGCACAGCACACCTCTCTCTGAGTCACTGCTTTTGCAGGCCTCATAGGTTATCACCAATGTTCCTGGTTGCTCACCACAACTTAATATTAAGACCTTCTTGCTAAAGAGATCACATTATTTTACTGGACACAGAGAAATCAATGTGGAAGTGACCTGAAAATGTCTACTGGCCAACTTCCATAGCGCTGGGAGGTGCTACCCAGGCCACTAGGGAACCAAGGACACCAGAGATCTTATCCACTGATCTGCCAGCCAAGATGTGTAACTGCTACGGGGCAACTAACTACTTTCTGATTGGATCTGAGGCTGATCCACAAGATGGAATCCATGTCTGTTACTGTACACTTGGTCAGAAGCCTATGGTTGGGATAGTAACAATAGGTCAGAGGGGGAACCTGCTGCTGCTGTTTTACTGAAGGAACATCTTATCAAACCTCCTTCCAAATATTGATGTTTCTAGCCATAGACCTGTGCTGCTCTCGTCGTTGCTCAGGGAGGCTCTTTCTGCAGTGGGCAGCCGTTAGCACAGGGGCCCAGAACTCAGACTGCTAAGAAGTGACCGAGCGCTCAGCCCTAAATAGGACAGTTGCATCAACCCTCAACAATGGCACAGGGAACATCAAAGAAGACATGGAAGAATGTAAAAACTGGAGGATGGAGGGATGCTGTAAAATGCTGTTTTCTGTACACAAGAGCGCTATTGGACTCATAAGTCCAAAACAGCTGCAGTGATCTCCACAAGACCCGAGGAACAACATTCCAGCCCAGCAGGTAACGGGGCTCCTGAGGCCCTCCCCTAGCTGAGAAGCTACTGCAGATGAGGACAGCCTGGGCTACAGAGCAAGTTCCAGAGAGGGATACATCTTGTCTCAAACAAAACAAAATGAACAAAATCCCAAGTAAAACAAAACAACAACAATGAAACCAAAGACAGGCAGCAATGGCACACGCCTTTAATCCCAGTGTCAGGGATGCAGAGGCAGGTGGATCTCTGTGAGTTTGAGGCTAGCCTGGTTGACAGAGTGAGATTGAGAACAACCAGGACTGTTATGCTGAGAAACCCCTATCTCAAAAAACAAAACAAAACAAAATACAAATGCAAGCTGGGTGTAGTAGTGAACTTTTAGTCCTAGTAGTCAGGAGACAAAGGCAGGTGAATTTCTGAGAGTTCAAAGCCAGCCAAAGATACATAGTGAGAACTAACTCCAAAAACAAATAAATCAACAATTTCTCCCCGCCCCCCCCAAAAAGCCAAACCCAAGGGCTGGAGAAAGGGCTCAGCAGTCAAGAGTTTGTACTCGGGGGGCTGGAGAGATGGCTCAGAGGTTGGGGGCACTGGCTGCTCTTCCTGAGGTCCTGAGTTCAATTCCCAGCAACCACACGGTGGCTCACAACCATCTGTAATGAGATCTGGTGCCCTCTCTGGCGAGTAGGCATATATGAAGACAGAACACTGTATACATAATAAATAAAAATATTAAAAAAAAAAGAGTTTGTACTCCTTTTCCAAAGAACCCAAGTTTGCTTCTCAACACCCACATCAGGCAGCTGGCAAATGCCTGCAGCTCCCGCTCCCGGGAATCTGGTGCCCTCTTGTGACCTCCACAGGCACCTGCACTCACAGGCACATACCCCACCCATGCATACACATGAACATACATGTACACATGCTTAAAAGTAGAATAAATCTTAAAAATAAAGGGCTGGGAAGAAGGCTCGGTGAATAAAGCACATGCCACAAAAACATCTGAGTTTAGATCACCAGAACCCAGGAAAAGCTGGAGAAAGTGACACACATCTGTAATCCAAATGGTTTTACCTGGGATAGGAGGCCGAGATAGAATTCACTTTCTAGCCAGTCAGTCTGTCATATGCATAGAATAGCAACAACAGAAAAAACCCACCCTCCCAAACAAGACTAAAGGTGATAATTAACAACTAAGAGGTTGACCTCTGACCTCCACACATGCACCATGGGACATATACTATGATACACACACCTGCGCTTGCACAGACAAAGAGTTTTTTTTGATTTTTCGAGACAGGGTTTCTCTATGTAACAGTCTTAACTGTCCTAGAACTCTCTCTGTAGACCAGGCTGGCCTCTAACTCACAGAGATCCACCTGCCTCTGCTCTCTGAGTACTGGGATTAAAGGTGTGCACCACCACTTCCTGGCTTACAAACATTAAAAAAAAAAAGACTGGAGCCGGGCAGTGGTGGTGCACGCCTTTAATCCCAGCACTCGGGAGGAAGAGGCAGGTGGATCTCTGTGAGCCTGGTCTACAAGAGCTAGTTCCAGGACAGGAACCAAAAAAGCTACGGAAAAACCCTGTCTCGAAGAAAGAAAAAAAAAAGACTGTTGAGTGGGCCTTTCTGTGTGAGGGCCCTACCAGCTTTTCCTCCCCTGCCCTAGGCTTTATCATATCCTCATCTCAGCCTCCTTCACCCCTCACATGCATCCTGAAGCCCCTACAACTTCTCCTGGCTCTCCTCCTTCCTCTTTGCTTAGACTTCCTTGGTCCCTCTTCCCAATCCCCCCCACCTGCTGACGTCACTGACATCCTGAGGCTTCTGAGAAAGCCTCTCTGGCTTCTGGGCATAGAACTGACTGTTCCTGTCCTTGTGGTCTCACTGCAGCCTGTCCTTTACTTCTCTGTACTCTGTCCTTCACAGGACATACTCCTCTTGGTGGAAATTATTTGCTTAAGACAGGTCTTTCCCATGAATGCCTTGCGAGCAGAGATTAAGCCATTCCTTTTAGATTATTAAAGTACCGGAGGGCCTGGCACAGGGCTGAACAGACTCAAGGCTCCACACCCTTGTATTAGAAAGACACCCCTCTTTTGGCAAAGTATATGGAGGGGCACAGTTGTTATAGACAGGGCCCCTCCAATGATGCCCTGTTTATAAGCTGCCTGCCCACGTCATTCTAGTGAGACAGGATGGGCCCCAGAGTCTGTGTTCTCTCCAAGACTCCCATGGTAAGCCCCTTTCCTCCGTTCACCTTCCCACCCCACTGCTTTCCTTACCTGTCCTCTTTGTTGATCTGGTCCCCAAAGCCCACGGTGCTCACAATCGTGAGCTTCAGCCCCACGTTGCTCTCCTGGAGGTCATAGGTATTGGATTGGAGCTGAACACCTGGCTGTGTGTGGGTGGCCGGCTCCCCCTCAAACTTGGTGTTGAACAGGGTATCCATGAGGGTGGACTTGCCCAAGCCTATCTCCCCTGAAAAGCAGAAGATATCGCACAGTGACTATGTAGCCACATGCATGTATGAAGGAAGAAGTGTATATACATACTACAGCACTACATGAAAACCATGTAGAAGTACATAGGATATAGAGCATCAGTTATAAGACAAAGGAAAGCACAGACAGGCCAGCTGCAGATAGCTCACAATCCTAGAGAAATTTCCACATTAGCCTTCATATTTTTTTCTGTTATTTGAAGCTTTACCTTGAGCATACATTGCTTTTAGAGGCAGAGAAAGAAATGCTATATATACAGATAGAGGGGTATAATTATCTCTAAAAATAGCCTGTAAAGAAATATAATATACTTTTATTAATGCTTATCTCTGAGTAGTGCGCTTACGTATAGGTTTCATTTTTCTTTAGTTTTTCTGTATTTTTGAAGTAGAACATGTAAAGAAATAACAGTTGTTAAATAAATACCCCCTCCTCTCATGCCCTGCTTCAGGTTCTGCCAGGCCTAAACAGTGTTCAATTCCACAGATGTCACAGTTCTGTTTCCTAAGTGGGGAGACTGTCTCTAACCTTGGCTTCTCCCAGCCTACATGACCTTTCAGTGAGACCATCTTTTATCTACCGAGGAATGAACTTAAGCCACAAGTTCTTCTTACATTTCAAACAAACATTTGTTTGCTTAGCTAACATGTCAGCTGTGTGACACTAATGAAATCCGGCCACTAGAATTTCACACTTGGGCGATGAATAGGGGAAGGGTTATGGTGGACTAGTAAAGGTTTGGGGAAGTTATTCCTGGGACACTAGAGGATGCCAAACCACGGCCTAGAACCAAGGAGTCTTTGGAGAATCAGGCATCACAATCACACATTGGAGAGAAGCTAGTGTCGTGGACTTCGGCGGGAATCTGACATGAAGCCACAGCTGGGCTAGGCACTAAAACTACTTCGAACCATCTCTATGGCTTCAGATTGTATTTGTCTCCTCATCCTACCCAAGTGAATCGGAAATATTAGGACTAAAAGTCAGTAGCTAGGCTGGAGATGTAGCTCAGCGAGTAGAGTAAGGCTTAGCATTGAAGGAACTGAGCAACGTGCCGCCACCCAGATCTGTAATCGGAGCACTCGGGTAACGGAGGCAGATAAGAAGGGTCAAATCAACCTCTCTTCCATACTGGGTTTGAGACCAGCCTGGTCTTTAGAAACAGGCTTGGCAAGGTGGTACTTGCCCTTAATCCCAAAACTTGAACGACATAGATAGGTGGATCTAAATTCAAGGTCAGCCTGACTCACAGAGTAAATTCAAAGACAGCCAGGGTTACTTAGCTAGACCCTATCTCAAACAAACAAACAAGTTAATGACCTTGGATCATCCTTTGAAACTCCTCAGACCGCACAACCTTTTTTTTCCTAGCTTCCATTCCTCTTCTCCTATCTCTTCCCAAGGAAGGAGAGACTGTGTGACCTTTGACTTATCCTTGTGGTTGAACTTAGGTTTACTCTGGGTAATTTCTAGCCTGGCAAAAGTCCCCGGATATCAGCAGTACACACTTGCACACATAGAGCTGCATGATGGGGAATCAAAGCTGCTCCCTTTCTCCCTATCCGCTCAGTGTGTGGAACTATGAATCTTCCAAGCTCCTTTTATCCTAAACAATGACCTATAAAAAATTTACCTATAATGAGAGCTTTCAAGTTAGCCTGCTTCCCAAGGTCTGCAGCCCTATTTCTTAGCCAGGCATAACTGTGAGGTGAATGGCTAGGGTATACAGAAATCCTCACACAGACTGTGTTTCCAGCCAGGGTCTGCTATATCCATCAGGGACAATAATTTTCTTAAGAAGAGGCCCCTTTTTGTCCTTCCCTAAAGAAAGTAATCAGGTCCCAAGAAAGTCTGGTGCAGTGAGGTCGTTGTCATGGGAGGTGACAGACTCAGGCATGCGGGAGAATACAGCACCCATTACCCCACCAAAGTGGCACAGCTCACGGGCCATCAGGGCCAGAATCTCTGATGTGGGAATGCAAGGACGGCTGCCGTGCTCCAACTCAACTTCCCTGTGGACACCCATGTGTTTCAGGTGCGTTTCATCTAGTTTTTTTTGTAAGTCTAATGGGTTTCCCATGTACAGCCTCAACTTCATCCTCTTTGTCCCTTGAGCTCATAACTGCTGCCCCTGGCCAGCGGCAGGCTCCAATCGCCCCAGCCCTCCTGAATGGGCACACTGCCTCCACATCCTAGAAATTCCCAGAGAATCCTCTGTATCCTTGACAGTGCCTGGAGAGAGCCCTGCTTGGAAGGTCTCAGGAGCCCGGGACACACCCTGTTTGCACAGCTGGAGAAATGGGAGCTGGGCGGCCTAGGCCCAGCAGCAGGGAGGACCGGCAAGGAAACTGACCACCCAGACGCCTGCCAGCAACAGAAAGGGCTGTGGCAACTAGATGTTAAATAATGAAGGTCTGGGACAGAAGGAAGAACTCCCATGTCTAGGGAATTGCAATAAATGTAGGCATTAGAAGAAGGCAGAAAATGCAACCAGCTCCTCCGGAGACTCTTGGATGCTTCTTCTGCTCTCAGTTGCCATCAAGGGGGACCTGGAGCTGGAGGGACGTCCTCTCTCGGTGGCTGACTCAGACTCAGCCTGAGACTAGAATACTGTCGCCTTGGGCTCACTAGGAAATGTGTCTGGGGAAATGACACGTGGTCTAACTGGGATCAGGTCAGCGGATTCCATCATGCTTCAGCAAGAAGGTAGGAACTTGGCAACTGGCTTCCAGCAGGAAACTCAACGAGTCCCAAGGGCTCAATTTCCCTCCCCTTCTCCCCAGCCCTCCCAGAGCATGTCACAATGGAGAGCAGGGTTTCTTAACTCTTTGAACTCTTGTTCTTCCTCTCACTTGGCTTATTGTTGACATTGTACTGGAAACAACAATTTTTTAAAATAACAGGGGCTGGAGAGACGGCCCAGTGATTAAGCACTAGCTGCATTTGCAGAAGACTTGGGTTTAGTTTCCAACATGCACATGGCAGCTCACAGCTGGCTGTAACTCCAGTTCCAGGGGGACCAAAACTGTCTTCTGGTCTCTTCAGACACCAGACATGCACGTAGTACTCAAATGTACATGTAAGCAAACATTCATACATGTAAAATAAGTAAATGTCTTTTTTAAAACAATTTAAATTTGCTAGGTGGTGGTGACGTACACCTTTAATCCCAGCACTCTGGTGGCAGACGCAGGAAAATCTCTGAGTTCGAGGCCAGCCTGGTCTACAAAGCGAGTTCCAGGACAACCAGGGCTACACAGAGAAACCCTGTCTCGAAAGAAAGAAAGAGAAAGAAAGAAAGAAAGAAAGAGAAAGGAAGTAAGAGAGATAAATCTTTCATATGCTACCACTATGTTGCCATGTGACAAAATCTCAGCCCTGTCCCCAGTCTGGGTTCTAGTCTTTTTTCCTGTAAAAGGGGAAGGTTGGAAGAACAACAGCGGGTCTTTTTGCCTGGGAAGGGTGGTTTGGCTTAGTTTTGAGATGAGCTCTACTTCAGCCTCCCGAGTGCTGGAACTTCTAGGCATCCACCAATAGCATTTGCTTATAGCACATTTATGTGCTCTCTGCCAAGATGGCCATGAATAAATATACAGTTTCTTTTCTTTTATGTAGTGCTGCGGATGGAACAAAGGGCCTCACACATTTGAGGCAAGTGCTCAACTACTGAGGCCTACCCTCAACCTCCATAGGTTGTATTTATTCCTTACAGCAAGTTTATAAGGTAGACACTATAGTTGTTTTTTTTTTTCATTTTAGTGCTGGAAATGGAGTCCAGGGACTCAAGTCCACCAGGTTAAACAAGAGCTCTACCCCTGGCTGTGCACGGTGACACCAAGAAGCAGAGGCAGGCAGATGTCTGTGAGTTCCAGGCCAGCCTAGGCTACAAAATGAGACTCTGTCTCAAAAAAAAAAAAAGGTCTAACCCTAAAAAAAGGTGTAACCCAGTGAGCCCCTAGACACAATTCACCCTTAATTTATAGTCAGGTTAACCAAGTCATCCACTAGCTTCATGAATTTGCAAGTTCCTCCTCCTCCTCTCTGGACCCAGGTTTCCTCCTTTATATACTGTAGAGGAAATGACTGTCCAAGGTCACAAACTAATCCACAGCAGAGCCAGTATTTTCATCGAGGCAGGCAAGTAGCCAATGCTTTGAACCAAGACACTCTAGTGAAGCCACAAGCATGACCTATTGGTTCATTTAGTCGCTCAACAAGTATTTACAAAGCCTCTGTCTGATCACAGCCAGATACAATTACAGTGGCTGAAATCACAGCAAAGAACAAGATGGCCACAGTCCACGTTTGCTTGGAGAGAGGTCTCTCTCAGCTGTAAATGGTGGAACAAGCCAAGAGAAAATGCCGCTGAGTTCGACAGGGAGGTGTCCAAAAGGAAACACTCCAGGAACTAGAGTTGGCCATGGGAGTCTGTGAAGAGGGACAAGGTCATGCCTGGCTATGCGACCTTGTCCTTTCTCTTTCCTGTGCTTGCTGGGACCTGACAGACTGTGGTGCGTTTCAGCTAGCACATGCAGCTTCCTGTGCCTCTTCCCCAACTCGTGTTCTGTGACATCCATAGCTTAAAACTAGCTACGGTGGAAATAACGACACTATGCAAATCGGTGGATGCCACAAACCATGGGACTGTTTTCTCCCGTGGTGCTGTGTTAGCCAGTGACCGACCACTATGGCAGCTTAAGGCTAACACCTGCCTTTCCCAGAGATAGAGGAATGGAACATTAGCCTGACCTTCATAGACTACTAGCTACCCTTTGCATACCTCTTGCAGTAAAGCCTCAATTCTGCTTGTCCTGAGTGTGTTTTCCAAGTTCAACAGAGCCCAGTTGAGCCTGGAATCCTGAGCAGCTTCAAAGTAAATATTATCATTATGAGCCGTGTTCTTCATGGCCATTAGCATTGCCAGCACATTTAGAGGGGTAAAGGCTCTTTGGGGCTCTTTCCCTGCAGTACAAAGCA